TATGTAATATGAGGTCAGCTTGTCAGGTTTACTTATTTGCCTAGCGTAGACATAACTAACAGTCATTAAAGGTCCATTATTGATGCCTGTTTGGCATACATTATTTTTTTTATTTTCATTCTTCTACTTATTTTTAACTGTGCATTCTTCAATAAAATAATATTTTTCATCACATTAATAACTTTTCTTTCTTTTTTAACCACATATTTCTCATCATACCAACAGTAAAAATGCATTCTTATCTCTAAAATGTGCATCAAACGGCAAACGGGGGTTGAGTTATAAAAATTACTTTTGAGTAACTTTTTTTGTCAAAAAAAATTCTTTTAGAATTGAGTCCTCACTTAAATTTAAAGAAAAAAAAAAGGTGCCTTTCATGACTTGAGTTCGCATCTCGTTGTTACTTAGGCTCTGTTGAGCAGGATAACAGATTTTGTAATAGTAATTTTTTTTTTGAGAAAGCGTGATTAAAGTGTAGAAGAAAATTAGATTTATATGAAAATGATTTTATTGAAAAAATGTGTAACTCAAATTGAATTTGAGAAAAAAAAAAATGAATTTTTAGAGAATGATGCTAAAAAAAGCACGCAATATTCTCCTAGTGTCAAAAATTACTCATTGACATACAGCAACAAGTATATTGAATTAATACTACCATCAAAAACTCATTATAATTCACTATAAATTGTTGAGTTGGCAAACACAGCTAACACGACAAACATCTTAAATTAGGATGAAGGACCATTATATATCGGTTTCATTAATTAAAGCATGTTTGAGCTTCATTTTTTTAAAAAAATACATTTTAAAATAGTGATTAGATGGACAACGTATGGTTATAAAATACGAAAAAAATTTGAATTTACGTTTAATATTATTTTATTGAAGAATACATGATTGAAAATAAGAAAAAATAGCAGTGTAAGTTGAGTAATTATTAATTAATTATTTTGACATTTTAAAAAATTCAAGAAGCATTTACGAGTGGAGAGAGAGAGTGAGAGTCAATTTAGGAGGTGAGGAATCACGTGATGCAATATGATGGGAGGTGGATATTATAATGATGGGACTGCATTACCAAACAACCACCATTGTCTTGGAACAATGCATCCCCTCACCTTTTTCTATTCAAATTTTTGTTTGTTTTAGGATAATATTTTTTTTTTCTATGTATGAATAAAATGTAAGAAAAAATTATAATAATTTTTTTTGAAGAAAAAAATGTGAGGTTAAAAATAAAATTGAAAGAAAAGTAATTCTTAAATAATTAAAATCTAGTAAGGGCTTTATCTATTTCGGCTGTTGGATTTATTGGTTCAACACTACGTGCAACTTGAGGTCCAACAACAAATTTGGGTAAAGCAATTTGTATAGAAAATGACTACACCTTGAATTATAGATGTGTACGTGACCGTAAGATGAGCTGTTGCATGAAAAGTATTTTTTTGTATATGTAGTATGATTGAACAAATTTTTGCATAAAAGAAGATTTTACGATGAATCTATTCGGATTTCGAAACTAGCCCAATGCCCTAAACTATGGTTTAATTTCAATCATTATCGATTAGAGATACTTAAATGATATTAAATTATAAGTTCAATAACAGAGATTTTATGTCACCGTATTATCTCATTTTATTAGAATTATTTCACTGCGTTAATCAACTGCCATGGACTTGAAATTAGTGAATCAGTGAAGGATTGTAACAAAAAAAGGGCTAACGTTGCAATAATGGTGGACAATAATTTGTTCTTCGCAAAGTTGAAAGTAATCCATTATTTGTTCAATAAAGTGCATTAAATCCAAAGTTTGCTGTTTCATTCTTATAATAATTGAATAAGGTAGCTTCTAAATTCAAGCGATCATATGCAATGTTTTGGGATTCAAAATCTTATTACGTTTATAAAAATCGAATAATCAAGAATTTTAGAAGTTTTAGATAAAATTTTTGAAGGGCCTTCTAAGAAAATAAAAACAAACTTTATAGAAAATCACAAGATGATTTTAATTAAGAATTAGGGCCGTCCATTTTATCTGTAAAACCAACCCTAACCAAACCGACTTGGATCGGTTATTTGGCTTGGCGGGTTAGTTTTCAAGTTGGCATGTGGCCAACTTGAAGATCTCAGTTTGGCATCCCTTTTTCGAAAAGAAAACAAAAAAGATTTTCGAGAGTATTTTATCCTTAAAGTTGACTAGACCCAATTCAATTTGAATCAATTTGAGTCAAATTTTAACTAATTTCAAGCGGTTTCGAGTTGGGATTTCACCCAACCGGAAAGTAGGTTTGGTGTTCGGGTTGGGCCCTCGTGACCACCCTAACTAGAATATCACGTTCTTGATAAATAAATATTAAATAGAAGTTCAAGTACAACAAATATTTTGAATCAACGTTATGAAGTATGTCTGACAAATTTTTAAATCGGTACGGAATAATAGTTTAATTCGCGAAATGTGTGGATAATAAATGAGTTATAATTATGAATGTGTAGTTGAAATTAGGGAGCAAGTATAAAATTTGTATGGAAAGAAAATAAATTTTAGATAATTCAGTTGTTTAGAACTTATTTGTATGTAAAATAATGTGTTTGATTAATTTAGTTTTCAAATTAGAAAATATTATTCTTATCTATTTTTCATTGGTATGTAGATAAGAGAGAGTGAATTACAGAAAAAAAAAAATCTCCGCTCCCTAAAAAAATGTTTTGTTATTTTCTAGAAAAATATGATCGCATAACCAAAAGTTGAAAAATATTTTCCATTGAAAATGTCAATCAAACACATTTAATGTTTGAGTTTGATTGAATTTATAAATGATTTATAAATTGGCTGCCACTTGCCAGGCATATGCTAAGTTATTGGCAATTATCTATTTTTTTTTTTCAATTTTTATATACTCATAAACACAACAAATCTAAAAAAAAAAAAAATACATGTTAAATAATTGAATTTAAAGTTTCACAAATTTTTTTTTATACTGCTGGATATCCCTTAAAATTATAGAACTTCTTTTTGGAAAGAGGGATTAAACCAAAACCCCAAAATCATTGAAAAGGAAAATAAATATGTTTAAAAATCATGTCGTCGTCCATCACTTATTACTTCTTACCCTTCTTTTTTCATTAATATGATTTGATTATTTAATTTCGAGATTAGAGACAAGATATAACAATTGTATTTCTTAAGCAATTATTCTGCTTAAAACGGGTGGAAAAATTATTGTTATTATTATTATTGAAGTAAATTTTAAATGTAGATTGTACGTTATTTTTCTTTTTGTGCAAAATGGAAGATAGACGTTTTGTGTTTTTGTCAATAACACAAGATCGTTAATCCTAATAAGGGTCGTGCTATAGGAAAGTTCGAGTAGGATGATCCTAATAATTGGCTCCCTCTTATTTCATGAAGCTACGTACTTGTGGGAGGGAGAATCCAATTGTCACTCAATTTTGAATTTATATTTCTGAATAATAAAAATAAGCAAATTCCAAAGTACAACTTTTTTTTTCATAGCTAAATTGGATCCGAAAAATGCTCCTTGGCCAGGTCAATGACATGAGATGAGGTGACAGAGTCTTGTGATACGGTGAGATCGTGTTTTTTTTAATTGTCCAATTATGTATCGACACGTATCCATTCGTCATTGAGTCTGTCATTGACTCTATTACTGTAGCAAGGTTGATTGGATCCATTGTTGTGATGATGATGATGGTATCGTGTCATGGCCGAGTAGGTTACCAACGACATGATAGCTTAAATATATCAATTATATAAATATTTATATGTCCATATCTCATTGATATTTTATTAACGTTTTTAATTTCTTTTTTAAAATGTTTATTTGAAATGATAGATATACTAACCCTCATATATATGATTATTATTATTTTTTAAATTTTTCTTATTGCTTTTTTTTTTATATGCAAGTGGCATAATAAATCATAAACTTTTAAAAAGAATCAATTCTCGAAAAATTAGAGGTGAACCAAAAATATCTTCTTCTTGTTATAGGATTGAATGATATATATGCTTTTATACAACATTGTTATAAACTAGAACGGCATTGTCTTCATTGATTTATTTTTAATCTTTTTTTATGGACGAGTAAATGAGGAAACGATATTGATTATCAATTTCTACATATACCAAGTCAAATACTATTGAATCTATCAAATAAAGCATATATAAAAAGCCCATCAACGAATATTTATAAACGAAAGATGGACACAGAGGACAATTATTTCGAGACAAAATTTAAAATAAATAAATTTCCATTCATTTAGATTTTTGAATAAGTTGGATCAATTTGATATCATAAGATATTTTCTGAAT